CTTCTTATTCTGGAGAAACTGATTGTACACCAGAACTCTGTCGAATATCTGGACTCCGGACCATGTTGAGACGCCTAAGCCCAGCGATTCATCTCAGCTAATTTCAGCCGTTTGTACTCAGAATCGCTGTTTTTCAATCATGACCCGCGATAGATGATCAAATGTGAGCATGGGGATGAAAATGCACTTGAATTCAGACGGTTTCGTCTTCAGACTCATACTATTTTCAGCGTAAAAAAACAAATCCAAAGTTGAATAACACTGAAAGCACTCACGGAAGAATGAAATTCAATGGAACGTTTTATACAGAAGTGAAAAATATCACCATGAAGTACTGCAGATGCACTACCCATCTGCTCAATTTTGCAATTTGCTGCGCGGGTCGCCGGGGCAATGCGTTCAGAAAATTTCTTCAATAGTTCTGGTCTTTCATCAGTCAGATAATCATCATGAACTGGATTGGATTCCAATGCCTGATAGTGCTCAGCTTTTTATATGTCATGGTCACCTGCTCTATAGCTTTGTGCATGTAGTCTGTCGTATGACAGTCAGTCTGACCCAGTGCTAAAATCATCGCTGTTATGATATTTCGATTTGAAAAAAGTAGCCCCTCAGAACGAAAGTCTCTATTCTTCAGTTTCAAAGCTTTTCAAGCATTTAAATGTCAGTATTCTGTCGACATGTCCTGGTATCCTGTTTCCCTGTTTTTATTATGGTTTGATGATTTAAAATGATCATGTTGCATTGTTCTGTATGGGGATACCATGATCGGTTAAAGGCACGTTAAAAAAGTTAACGTAAAGTGCTGCAGCGCATATATTTACAATAGAAGTAAAAAAGTTAGTGCTTTAAGCGGACTTCTTGAAACAGTGCTTTTTAGCAGCTCTTAATTAAGAGTGTGTTTGAAGACAGTGAAATGATTGTATTCTGAATGAAAGACTAACACTTTCACCAGCAGTGTATATATAATGGCAAAATACAACATAGAACACGTTTAGTAATTTCTTCTTTCATCAGAGAGGTAACAGACACCACGAATTTTACATGCTCCTGTCGGTTGTAGTCAGGAGAGACAGTGAGTCTAAAGTAATTACTGTTTCAGAGATGGGTCGTACAGATTGACTGTTCGTGCCATTGATAAGGTTAAAAAAGCCGTTAAATGCTGGGTTATAAATATTTCGTATAATCTAGATCCGTGCTCATATTGTAGTCAACTCCTTGGAAATGAGGTTAAACACGTCGTCGAGAGGGCCGTTCTCGTAAGCATTACACTTCTCTGGCGATCTCAGAAACTTTGATATGGTAGCACCGGCATCTGACACCATCCGTCCAGCCAAGTACCGTGATATCATAGAGGAATGTTATAAAAATAAAAGGCAGAAGGCAGAACTTTC